TCTCAACGCCTAAACACCTCCCACCCAAAACATGGCCATATCAAAACAAACAACAACTTTGGGGGGAACAGGAAATAGATTCATTCCACAGCTAGTACGCGCGCACAATTTAAAACACTTAAACAACACAACACTACTTAAAGTTATATTTGAATGAAACTGTACACACTGTTACACGAAAAAACGTTTCAAGAGTTTTAAAAATAGAGGAAAGCTTAAGTTAACGATCTTCTTATTTTTATTTTTTGTTAAAGAAAGTTCTGTTGCAAGGTTTTGATTTTTTTTTTTTCTTAAGTTACCGTCTTTGTTTGGTGGGAAGAATTGGGAAGCCCTTTGTTCTGGTTCTGGTGGCTCACTTCGAGCGACGAGAAGAGGCCAGTTCTCTCGTATTCTTTTCGTCTGTGAAGTCTGTGTTTTTTTTTTGTGTGTTTTTTTTTTTTTTTGAAAACATGGAGAAGATGCTTTTGAACAGGTACCATTGTTTGTTTTGTTTTTCCACAATTTGAGCTTTACCTTTTCACTACTGTAAACTTCTTTGTCTTCCAGGTTGAATGGAGAGATGAAGAAAATTAATGAAGGACTGCCACAAGGAGTTGTTAGGTAAAGGGTTATCTCTACTTCCATTCAATTTTACCTTATTCCCTTTTGTTATTTAATTTTAACAGCCACTAATTTTAGCTTTTCTCCTCAGCCTTGCCCCTGTGGAAGGGGAAAACGGCCCGAATTTAATGAAGTGGAGAGGTGCAATTGAAGGACCAGTTGGGTCAAGTTATGAGGGAGGACTATTTAACCTTGATATTATAATACCAGATGATTACCCTCTCTCACCTCCAAAAGTAAGTGAATGTGCACTTGTAAAAACAGCTGTCTCCTGATTACATTCTGCATGTTGTAATTTCATTTTTATTTGAAATCAAGGGAAATGTTTCTACTCTCTAACAACCCTTTTCCTGTTAACAGGTGACAATGCTTACAAAAATTTATCATCCCAATATTAGTAGCTCCGGGTACATATGTATCAGCATTCTGAAGAGAAGGTCTGATGATGGACAGTGGGTGTCAGGCACCACCCTACCAATGCTCATGGTTGCTCTACAGAGCCTCTTGTCAGACCCAAATCCAGGTAAGGGGAATAGCAATATTTTGTGGAGAACTAGGGTAGATCAAAATAAACAACGTAGAATGTTCCATGAGCAGCCTGAGAAATACTTTCTAGCTCTATGGGAGGTAGAAAAATACTTTGTGCAAGGAGCTCTCTAAAAGCCTACTGTAAAACTTTAACGTAGGAACAACCCATTGAACCTTAGCATTTAGCATGTTATAACTTATTTTTGAAAGTCTTAAAAATGACCAAATTTTGCCCAATCGAGGTTTCCCTTTGGCAGTTCAACTTTCTGATAATTTTTAAAACATCAGAGAGACCCATCGAATCATTAAGAAAAATTGGGGTTGGAGGAGCTCTTGCTTCTAGGACTTTTCCAGTTTTACATCTGGCACGCAACATCTCTTCGGAGCTATTTGACTAAGAAACCTGGGTGATGGCACATTTTAAAAAGAAATGAGCAGGCAATGGGATACTAGGCCCCTTTATTATTTTCAGTTAAATATAAAGTATTCAGAACAGTATGAATTTAAATCACATTTAACTGTCCTGTGGAATTAGTGAAATTAATTTCTGTTTTTCTAGATGATCCAGTTGTTGCGTCCATTGCCTCTCAGATGAAGAATAAGCCGGATGAGTACAAGCGCTATGCTACTGCATGGACAAAGCGCTATGCTATTAAGCGTACTATGTAAATGCAGAGTTTAAAATGTTTTGATACAGTCAGAATTATTGTTAATGTTGATTCATGTATGCTTCAATGAAAGTGTTTTTTTTTTATTTGTATGGGAAGATCTTTAGAAAAGTAGGGCCTCTTGCCTGAATTTGAATTGATGCAACTGTGAGGAAATACTTTTATAGAGTTTAATTAAATCTTATAAGTGGACTGTATCATATTGCTGTGGAAAGTGTGTCCATATTATGAGAGTTAGTTTTCTGAATTTTGCTTCAATACGATTTAACATAGTAATGTTCGATATTGATTTTCTAAGTACCAACATATTGTAAATGCTACTTTAGTTTTAGTTTGTAAACATTGGTGAACTACCTTGATTTTAACATTGTGTTCAGTTAGTTCGGACTGCAAAAATATGAGTCTGTATAATTTTTAGGATTTGATTGAAAATAGACTGGCTAGAGAAAGGTGAGGTTGAAATAGTTCTTCTCTCACCTGTGGGAGGAGTGAAATTGTTTCTTCTTAGCCTATTTGAGACTGTTTACTTAATATACCTGTTAACTTCTTGCGTTTTAGATTTTTAACTAAATCTACTTTCAAAGGGGCCCCCTTTCAAAGACCAAAACAATAAAAATAAGGAAAATACATTTACTAGTACTTCACTGAAAAAAAGTTGTAGGAATCAGCACCTTCCTTGGGGCGTTAGATTTCTGTGTTTCGCAGAGGCACTTAAAGATCAGCATCCCTGGCAATGTACTAAGTTGCTAAGTTTCCGGTCGAAGCTTCTACCTCGGACTGTACGACACGTCAGTGTGCTGAGCTTCGGCATGACGGCCAGCAGGGTGCTCACGATGCTCACGAAAGTCGTCAAGTCCCTCGGCGTTGTGCACGCGGCCGAGGCATACAGCTCGGACTGCACGGCCGCGCCAGTGTGCAGAGATCCGGCATGGCGGCCAGCAAGGTGCTGTCGATAGCAGGTACCTCACACGATGGGCTCGGTGCTTTGGAGTGGTGCCTTCTTGTCTTGAGGTTGATACGGCTCTCCTTGGCCATGCCTTGGCAATATAGGAGAGCTGGGCGGGGTTGAATGGGGTCGTGACGGCGGACAAGGCTTCTGCAGAGCAGACCATGGTAGCCGACGCAGGCATAGGAATCATCAACAAGGTACTTCCGTCATTAACCGCTACGAACCTGCCATGCCAAGTTTAGCAAGTGCAAGCTCTCACAGCGCCTGGTGGGTAGGCAACATCTTGTCCGGAGTGCGTGCGCGTACTGCGGGTTGGCCTATCCTGACTCTCGCAGGCGCTTAGCTCCCCTCACTTGCAGAATGAATCTGAGAAAAATAGACATGCTTTCTAGTCGATTCCCTACGGGCGGGTTTTCTTTCGCCTGTTTTCAAAGACCGTGGCACCATAAAAGACGAGTTGGGTAGGCAACTTGCCCAGTGTAGTACGCGGTACCGTGTGCCAGGGCTACGACATTCTAGAAACTTAAAGTGTGGTACTGTCAAACAGTAATAAGTGCAATACCATGAGTATCACACTTTACAATGTAGTACCACACATGTATCACACTTGAAGTGTAGACCACACATGTATTACACCTGGCTTCCGGAGAAAATGTTGCTGTGACGTGACACATGCGTGGTACTACCGTTTAAAGTGCGATACAGATGGTATTGCACTTATAACGACTGTTGGGACAGGATCACACTTGACTTTCCGGAGCAAAACCGTGTTGCGGGTATGCTCACCCTAGGGTCATTGCACCTTACGGATGGAGTGAGTAGGCAAACCGGCATGTCGTGGCCCGGACACCCGACACACGGTACAGTGTAACCATGGAAGTGGGTTGCGTGAATCAGATGCCTCTGGTAGATGCGTGGGTGTGGGTGTTGCGCGCGGAAAGGGATTGAAGGCGCCAGAGATTTACGATAAAATAAGCATTTTAAAGGTTTATATTTAATTAAAACGAACGCGCACTAGGGATCTGATAGCCAGGCCGCAATTTGGGCAGTTTGGAAGGAAGTGCGGAAACAATTGAGCACAGTCCGAACATAAGGCGAGGTGGTGGCAATCCATAATAAGATGAGTGGGCACGCCATGCATGCAGTTTGAGCATTCGGGCTGCTGTAGTGCCTGCTGCGGGGGCTGCTGAGGAGGCAGCTGCAGGGGCTGCTGTTGTGGCTGTGCCGGTGGTGCAGCTATAGCAGCTAGAAAATGAGAAAGAAATGTATTTCTGATGAGTATGCTCGTTTTCTGTAAGAATATTGCTGGTCGCCTACAAATTACAGCCAACAAGCCAGGTCGAGTATTAAATTATTAAATATTTTACCTGGACCATTGACCTCAAAATCAAGGTCATCAGCAGGCACATGGTAAATATCTTCCTCGTCGTCGTCGCTGAGGACAATCACTTCACCTGCAAACATGATGTTACTTTGTTACAACCTGTTTCCATTTGCCTCACATGCAAGACTCGGATTGGCTTAACATTTCTTACCTATGGGTTGGATGCCATGCACTCCACGACCCACCCCCCGCTCACGCGGATCTCCAGCACGGCGCGCCCGGCGTGCCGGTCCTGGAGGACGTCCTACTGGGCGACGCACACGCGGGGGCGTGTTGCCCGTGGGCACTCGCCTCGGGCGTCCGCGGCGGCGGCCACGTTGCGGGGCACCTGCAACAGCACGAATAACAGACTACGATTAACACCGAGTTTTCCTCCTAGGCCACCTTGCTATGTGAGCCACAGTGAGATTTCTACACCGTGCGTGATGTGAGCCGTACCGAAGCATAAAAAAAAATTAGTCCAAAGGGCTAAAACGGAGATGGTCCCCTGGAACAAGTCACAGAGGCCCCAGCACAGCCGAGTGGGCGGAGGGGAGGGGGAGAGGGGACAGAGCTGAGCGCAGCGCGATCGCCACAGACACACTCCTGAGCCTCTGCTGCCCTGTTCTAGAGTAGAAGCGCAGGGGGTGGGGGCACGTTTTCTCCCTCTGGTAGAGACAGTCTTGACTCGCAGCACGCTGCGCCCTGC